AGATGACCTTTCCTTTCCCGGCCCAGCCAACGCTTGTCATTTTCCTTGCCTTGTCTTTTACATTGCCATGTTTTGGAAATGAAGAAGTAAAGTGTCTGGCAAGGAGGTAAGCGCCCATCAATACTAATTGAAGATAACGAATTGGATGGGCACTTACCATGTCTTTCTATCACTCCTTTCTTTCCTTTTGATGAAATTGAAGATTGAAAATGGGAAGTGAGAGGCCTCTCTTGACTTCTTCCTCAAGCATAGGCTGCTGTTAATCTTATGCCGTGTGATGCTTGGGAAGAAGAAGAAGAAGAGAAGATAGGAGAGGGTGAGCAGAAGTAACGTGATTCTTTCTTTTCCTCCGATCGCATCCTGATTTTCCCATGTATGTCACCCACCAACATCTTCAACCCATAAAGATTTGACTACAGAATCCTTAAAACCTTTTTAATAGCAAATGCTAGCGGTCTCTCTCTTTTGCTAATAATCTTCTGGAAATGAAAGGACAATAATAGAGTTTTAGATCATAGGATGGTGTAAGGATTGGGTTCTTCTCATCGTTGACGTCCTTTCCTTGTCCAAGTCACGGAGGAAGAGAGGTTGGTTTGTGGTCCCAAGAGCTTGTATCCTTCCCTTTCTATCTCTTCCACTTCATCCAGGAAACATTTGTGGATGGACATGTCGTTATTAAGATCATTGCATCCCATTTATTGCTTGAATGTCTATCTTTGTTGTCTTCCATTTACAATATTATCTGAGAAGTATAGAAATGCGTCTGGGTGTGAGGTTGAAAAAATTGGCGATGTAAAGAACATCACGATGGTTGGAAGAGAAAGTTAATCATTACCAAGAATAGGTTCATAGTCTCTCATCTGCTGGTTGCATTCTCATGTACTTGTTCACTTTGCAACCTTTCTACTTGTTCATCTATCTTCCCAATCTCTCTTTCTCTCTCTCGCATTGTAAACGTTGGAGGCATCTGGATGGGGGAAAAAACCCGGGGGGTAATAACAAATATGAAGAAGAGGAACTGGCTAACACTCCTTCTGCTCTCCCGTCTTTCGCGGCTATCAGGACTAGTACGAATTACGAAAAAGGCCTATGAAGAAACATAATAGATACATAAATAAATAAATCAATAGGCAAATGACAGAACCAAGAACATGAAAGTAATAAAGAATGTTAATAAATGAAACTGTTTATTGGGAGACACATTATTCTTGTCCATCAAGAACCCTCTCCAAAACAGTGAAAAACCTAGAGTGGACAATGATGGATATGATAGAAAACGCAATAAGATAATAAAACGCAGTAAGCTATGAGATTACAACGATTCTGTAATTATTGCCTTTGAATTCACCCCGTGACCACTTCATCCCATTTACACAAATACATTGGAGAGGATATTAGTGCATGATGAAGAATACACACAAATTATAACCATAGATAGTTTGCTTGACTCTGAAGAGGCTGTTGGTCTTTACTCATGGAGTTTATTTAGTTGTATCTTCTTTCTGCTTTTGTTCTATTAGAATTTCCTTGCAAAATCTCTCACTCACTTCCTATTGTATCATTAGATATGTGCAATATTCTTGAGTTTTAGGTGAGAATGAAAAAGGATATTAATAGTTCAAAGTTGCTGGAGAAGGACGGAACACTATTTACGAAAGGCTATTTATTTACTAGAATCTCATGAGTAATGTTAACTAATTTGTATCGATTGGGGTGTATTTCTCACCTTCTCTTTTTAAGGGGTTTCCTTTTGCCTCCCAAGCTAATACTTGTCAAATCCTACTGAATCAATCTTCATTAATAAAATCATGTTCATCGCTAGAAGTGACCGAAGGAAGTTAATAGTTTTCTCATCAGAATATTGCCTGTCCAAATAGAGTGATGAATGAAGAGACGCTTAACTGTTATTATTGCTTAAGTGACGTCTCACGGACAGGCTACGTCTCCAGACCCTTTTTTATATCTCTCTGATTGTTCTTTCCTTTTATGTTTATTTGACCAGCATTTGTTTACTATTTACTTCTTCCTCACTGACATTCGATCTTCTCTAACTCTGTTATCTGTTACTGTGGCTTTAATCATTTGATTAACATTTTCCTCTTTCCATTTCCATGCTCTATCTTGGTGAGCCAGCAAACGTTTAATTTAGAAAAAATATGGAAGTGATAGATAGGAGGACATCATTATTTGTTTCTATTAATACTACTTCACGAAGGTATACCGTGTGCTTTTATCACACTCTCTCACAACCAAAGAGAGGATGTTCATCTGGTCTTCATCACCCCTCACCCTTTTTTCTATTACTACAAACTAGCTGGTTCTTTCAGGGTGGGGCATGCCAAGACATTCCTTTCTACTCTTGGGATTGCACCAAAAGAGTCCATGTGCAACAATGAGCCGTTCTGCTCTTGAAGGCGCGCGGCGGCACATTGTACGTAATCTTCCCTGCCACCCACTTGTACATTGGTGGCTAAGTATCGTGGACCCAGACCCCCCCCCCCCTTTTTGGCTCGAGGGGGCCGTTTCTCCCAAACACGGAGGTGTTGCTCGAAGCATGGACGCCCATCCCCGAGGTTCCAGGCAAGAAGGGCTGCGTTTCACACAAGATCGCTGGAATGCGCGCGAAAATGTTTTTTTTTGGTATGGGAAGACGTCTTTGGCTATCATGAAGGCGATTGGTTCACCTGCGGGAAAAACACGCTGTACTTGTTGGTCCTCTACGGCCAAGCGCTGGACATATTACACAATTTGCAGATTGGGTTAGTCCCTGCGAATCTAAGCTCCACGTCCTGGAAAGGCTGTCAGACTGCCAGGCACTCGTGGAGCAGATGCGGCAGGAGGAGCTGGAGCGCCGGCAGATGGAGGCAGCCGGGGTGGTTCACGGCTGGGCTGGGTGGCTTGGGCCTTGGGCATGGCTGGCTGGGTGGCCCAGCGGGTCCCAAAGAAAGGGTGTGCCACCAACTCGTGGCAACAAAGCTTTGACGTGAGAAGTGATTACCCTCCCACCAGCTAACATGGAAGTGCACAGACCCCTGTAGAAAGACCACTTTCCTCTTGGAAAGAGCCTTTTCGCACTTCCATGTTAGTTGGTGGGAGGGTAACTTGCTGTGGGGGACTTTGGCCCAAACCCGAACGGAGGGCAACTCACATGGTTGCATCGGTCGCCATTTTGGGACTCACGGGCACCCGGAGCAGGACCGCCAACTTAAAGAGGTGAGTTGTTTTCCCCAATCACGGCCTTGAAGATGGTCGTCACCCGTTCACTTCCGTGATTCCTACTTGGACTCGGCCTCGAGTGGGCCTCATGGCAACAGCCACGCGGCACCTCAGTGGGATTGCAACTCTCGAGAGGCGCGGCTCAAGGAAGAGGTGAGGATGCACAGAGAGGACCTTCCGGGCTGCAACCCTTTCGAGATCAGACCGCGTTGAAACCCCATAGGCACCACAGAACCATAGCCATAGAACCTGCGCACAGGGCGTAAGAAGCGCGTGCGAGAGAACTGTATGTTTTTGCTTTGTTTTGCCCTGCATATTGTTTGTCCCCAAGCGGATTGTTCTGCTTCAACGCCCTCCCTCAGATGGGCACACGGATTGATGACCGTGGAGTGGGCGGGAGGTATGTTTTCAGGCTTTTTCGTCGGGGGTTCTCCTTTTTACGGTTGGCTGAAAGGGAGGCCAAGAGGTTTTTGTTGGGGCACCTATTCTGACACATACCCCAAATTCCCTTTGAAAAGGATTGAATGGATGCGGGTTAGAAGGTCTGGAGTTACGTGCGGGGGCTGGCCATGGAAACCTATGCTTTGCCGGGCAAACCGAGCCTCGCGCGCTGCCCAGAGCTAAGCAGAACTTTGAACAACACAGCGCCGTAGCTCTCGGGAGACATGGTCCATCGCATGGAGTTTTGCTCGCAATATGTGTATACATGTATATGCACACACACACATATATACATATATGCACACATATCCATGCTTTTGAGAGTTCGAGACGAACCAGATTGCCCGATTGTTATCTGAGAGAGTTGTGGGGAAGTCTGCAGTCTGCATGGCTTACGGCCCCGCACGGCCCGTCAAAGAGAACCAGCTCGCCTCGTGATCCATTCGCTCGGGCGCATTCTGCGCATTGCCGAGAGATGCTGGTTCTGGCCTGGCCCGGGGCTCGGGCACAGATTGCTTTCGGGCAAGACATGGACAGAAATGGGCGCCCAAGGTGCAGAACAGATGTATGTTTCCTTGGTCAGCCATCCGGTTTAGCGTCTTAGATTTCCATTAATCCACAAAAAGTTAAACTTTCAGGGGGACCTGAGGACAGCCCAGTTTCAAGAATGGTTTCTTTCTCACTTCCCTGTTTTCTTGCTTCGCAAGGGGGTTACCTATCTTTAGACATACCCACCTTGCTGCACACAAACGTGCGGGCCAGGCAGGGAGAGCCCCTAAGAATTGGCGCCCTTGAAGCAGGATCGGAGTTATTCCAATGCATTTGAGGTGCGTGCACCCTCCCCCTCCTGCTAACAGATGTATCGGACAGGGCTCTCCCCTCAATTTCGGGCGCCGGTGGAGTGAGCAGGTTTGCCCCTGTCCTCGCGCTGGCCGCAAGCCAAGGCGCACGCGGGTTGCGGCGGGTTGCGGTACGTGAGTTACTGAGGTGGAAGCTTCGAGTTCTTGGCTTGTCAACAGACGGGGGGATGCAGCCCCAACATTCCGACCTTGTGGGGGCCCCGTCACCCGCGCTTCTCCTGTCTTGGGGTTGGGCGAATGGCTGCCCTCTGAAAAACAAATCGGCGCAGCTCGGTTGCGACCAGTCAGGTGCTCCGCCAGCAGCGCGCCAGCAGGCCCGGACACCCAGGTTTTGCTCCTTACTGCCGGCATATGCTGGGAGGATTGCCGCCCATGGGTCGTTTGATGTGTCACATCTTGTTATGTTTGCATGTTGAGGTAAGAACTCCGAAAATCTGCTTCCGCAGGTCTCAGTTTTCGGCTCAGTTTTCGGCTCACCCCGCCATGGGTCGGGCCTTCGCCCGCCTCCTGGTGGGAGCTGCGGTTTTCGTCGGCGGCCAGTCACTTGTCGCCTTTTGACCGCTGGTCCAAGTTTTTCATGGTGAGCCTCCATGTCCTTTGGAAGAAGTTCGTGAGCTGTCCACCTGTTTTTTTTGCCGCCTTTGACTTGCACACTGTGGCGAAGATGGTCCAAGTTTGGTCCATACCTAGTGGAGGTTCCAAAAGACCGACCCTATATTCCCATGTCCTTTGGTCATGCCAGGCTGTTTGTCGGACCTTTCGCGCGGCTTCCGCGCAATGCGCGGCTGGCGCGCCTGGAGGGGCATGCAGAAGCCTTGGATCTGGAGGCGAGGCGGGCCAAGTGCCCCTTGACGCAGCAGCAGTTGGAGGGCGACCATGGCGACAAATGGGAGGAGAGGGGCAAAAGGATTCTTGAGCACACAGCGGCATAAACACAGTGCTTCAGGATTCGCATGTCGCCATGCAGACATGGACCCTGGGAGGATGTGCGGGACATTCTAGTTGGACTGCGGGCAGCGTCGCCTGAGGCGATCATGCGAGTGCCCGCAGCTGCAGTTGCGAGATTTTGTTGGGGGGCCGCCGAGCGCCCAGTCGAACCCCAGAAGCTGAAGCGCGAGACCGTTCCCCCGGGCCCTTGCCAAAGCACCCGTGGACCACTCAGGGATGGTGACAAGGCTGGCCCCATTTGTCCCTCAGAAACGCTTTGCTCCACCTTCGGGTTCCGCCGGCCCCGTAAGACATACCCAGACAGACCCATATGGAACCCAAGTTTTTTTTTTAGGAACGGATGATGTCGATTGCCAGTGAAGGGACGGCACCTCCAAAAGCGCGAGATGCTGGTCATGTTGACCCAGGAGTTCCCTCGGAAAGGGATGAATCCCCACTAGTAATGGGCCAGCCCCCCAGTACTCAACCAGGGGTTTATTAATCTGGGGTTCTTCTTTTCTTGGGCGCCTTTTTTTTGGCCAAGAGATCTCAGTAGGGATTCCAATTTTTGTCCTTTGGGCGGGTGAAATGGGGTTGCGGACTTAAGACTCACCCGAATGTTGGAGCCCAGTTCATTCGCGGGGTGTTCCCCTCCCAAAGTGAGAAATCCCCGCTAAAGCCCGACATGCCCCCCAAAGTAAATAAACCCCAAGATAAAGCCCAAAATAAGAATCCGCACCCTACTGTACAAAGAATGGTTTCAACCATGGTTTCCCACTGGTTCGAACGTTTTTTCTCCATGCACAGTATGAATAAACAGGTTAGTTGATGAACATCTGGGGTCAACAGTACCCATTCGGTTGTCACGCGAGCGGACGATCGATGGATTTTAGGCGCGCTTCACCGCCCTAAAGTTCCAGGACCCGCAGCTCGGACGGGTTTCATGGGACCCCTGGATCCATTTCCCTTCTCAGCCCTCTCTGGCAAGTTGCATGGAAAGGTCAAGGGAAGGTGCTGAAGCATCTTCCCCAGCCTTCATCCGTCGAGTCTGGAAAGCTGGGAGGCTCAAAGGTAGAGGCTTAGCAGTTTGGCCCATTTTCAGGTTCCAACAGCCGAAGTCTTTGCGCTTGGAGGCAGTTCCTCGCGGCCACGGAGAAGGATGACGCGGAGTCCATCCGGGAGCGTGCCAAGCAGTGGTCCATGCTGCTGGGCCTCGAAGAGACCAACGCGCGCCGTGGCTGGAACGCCAAGGGGCATATGGGGGTGGACGGGTTGATCAAAAGCTCCAATAACATGGGATGCCCATTGGTTGGAAAGCCCCCCCCCAAAAAAAAAGCAAGATTATATTTGCCACCTGGGAAAAGTTATTCGTGGGCGTTTGGGGGCCAGGCAAGTAGATCAACCCCCACATGGGTTTGTCGAGAATGGTGGCTTTGCTCTTGGCTTCCCTTTCATCCAAACTCGCAACCATATGATTGATGAGCAGCTTGAGGCGACAAATCAATGGCCTTGGTTCAAGAGATAATGAATCCGGGCTGCTAGCTTCTCTCACAAAAACAGGGTGCTCTCCGCTTTGGCTGCTGAAGGGGCGTGGATGGCCATCAGCGCTTGGAAACAACTGCCTCGGCCAGTGCTCATGCCAACCCGCCGTGTAACAAATGTTGCCCATCACTTCGGCCAAGGCTTGCGCAGCCTGAGGCTTTTAAACGGAGGGCGTGTTGGGAGAACCACAGAACTCCAGTGGGGAAAGAGGCAGCCGGGTGACGTTTTCGAAGACCTCACCATGCTTCTCACCCTGCACTGCGGGGGCAAGAGGTAAGAGGTCGTCCCAACTGCCGCCGGCCTTCGGACTTCGTGAAGTGAAAATCTGTGGTTTGGTGTGAGTGTGGGTGCCTGGTGGCTGGGCAGCCCATAGCAGTCGACCCGAGTTTGTGAAGAGGGGCGTGGGGGCCCCTCCAAGAGTGATGCCCTACGAATCCCAGGGATCAATGCAAGGTCAACACTATTTCTGTGTCGACACGCTGCTTCGAGTCCCACATTGCTTGAGTTAGGCCCCCACCAAGGCATACACACACACACACACATCTCTCCCAGCGCCAAAACTGCCCAAAGAGGACCCTGTCACCAAGGGTCGACAACCTGCTGAACCTCAACAACCCCGCCACCAGCCTGAGAGAGCCGGTGGGCATCGATATCGTCGCCAGCGACGGCGAGTGGGTGGAGTTCAAAATCCGATGCGCCTTCGGCGGGAAGTGAACATGAAGCTGAGCGTGGTTGGGTCGTGAACGCTTTTTCCTTGGCCGCTCTCAGGATGATAGGACATGATGGCACTTCAGACAGGGAGGGGCCGAAGTGGAGTGGATTGAGAGGGCCAGCCACGAATTACCTGAAAGATTGCTCACCGTGGCAGGTATCCCCTACGTAGGGTGTTTGGGATCAGCCGGCACGTCATTATGTCGATGGGGTTCCCCTGCTGGTTCCACCCCTCTAGCAAGGACAGACAAGGCCCGGATTGCGTCCGCCTGCGCACCAGAATTGAATGAACACGCTTCATAGCTGTCGATTGGATTTACCACCCCTTTCACACGCTGGCCTTGGGGTGCAATGGCTGTGTGCCATCTCGGGCCATGTTTGTTCCAGCAAATGGGTGAGTATCGAATGCTTGCGGAATCGAATCTGGATGGGGGTCCACCCCAGGCGGATGGGGGATGTTGATCCTAAGCCAATGCGCGCATTGGCGCCTAGTATGCCAGTCCTTGGCCGATCCCTTTAACTTCCAAGGGGTCCCTCCTTCCATGTTTGCTCCGGTCAGGTGCCAGCAAGACACTGTCCGAGAAGAGCAGGTTTATCAAAGATAGGACAGCCGTAGCCGAGTCGTATAGCGTCAAAAGCGGCCGAGCACTTGTCCGGGTGGTCAGTGTTTTGGCAGGGTTCGCACTTGTTGCTTGAGAGAAGCATGGGCTTTCTTTGCACTTTGCAGTCAGCCGCAGGAAATACGGCTGGGTGTATGGTGGCGAGACCGAGTACAGCCAGTGGTCGTGAGCGTGCGAAGCCCCGTGCGAGAAACATGAGCGTTGCAGCTTTTTCTTTGGAGTCCGCCCTCCCGGGTTTGGGAGGACGGGGCGGTTTGCTTGGCGTACCTTTGACGTTTTGCCCTTTTGGGTTTCCTTTTATTTTCCCCGTGTGAAGTTCACACTGGCGGGGGTCTGAGTCTAGCCGACCATGTTCAAAGTGATGGACGCAGGGCGCTTCCGCCCCGACAAGCATACCTACACATACGTATGTATGTATATAATATATATATATATATATTTGTATGTATATATATATATATTTATTTATTTATTTATTTATTTGCATGTGCATCATATACACATTCAAGACCAGACTTCTGGGAACGGGCCCCACTTCGATAGCCCCTGCAGCCGGTCAACAGGATGGGCCCGGAACACGAATCTCAGAAGGCGATTGGCCGAATCGGCGCCCTGAAGGAGGTTGAGCTTTCCGAGCTGTAGCTTCGCCCGCGCGAAGGATTGTTTGGCTTTGGTTAGGCACATGAAGGATTTTCAGACTTTGAAGCTGGGTTATAGCCAGTTATAGCTTGCACCAATGGACAATCATGTGTGTAGCATTCGAAGGGAACCCATTTGTTAGAACGGGGTTCAAAAGGGCAAGCCCGGGGACCAAGCGCCTTGTGAGCAGAAGTTGCCTGGCGTTTCGGTATGCTTTGGCCCGTTTGAGGCTGAGCAGCAGCGACAGAGGCAAGTGGGGTGTGCGAGGCAAGAGTCCACAGGCCGATGGAAGGTCACTCTATTCTCTGGTCTCCCGTTTGGCTCGTGATTGCTTGATTCGCCACGATTTGTTGTTTGCTTGCTCGTCTCGTCACTGCTGGTTGCTGTTGCTGCTGTTGCTGCTGCTCTGCTGCTGCTGCTGCTGCTGCTGCTGCTGCACTTATCGCGTGCTGCAAGCCACAAAATTTCATGCTGCTTTTGCGACACTAGGAGATGCCTTGGGCGCCACCCCAACAAGCGCCACCACAGGGGGCATCACCCCAGGGACCGCCGCAACATGGGGTGCCAATGCAAGGACCGTCGCCACATGGGGCGCAGCCACAGGGGGCGCCACCCCAAGGACCGCCACCAAACGGGGCACCACCCCAGGGACCGCCGCCACGTGGGGCACCGCCACGTCGCCAAGGACCGCCTCACCACGTGGGACACCACCCCAAACACCGCTGCCCCCTGCGAAGTGATGTCGCTGCTTCTTTGTAAGTTTCCCTTTGGTCGTCATTCCTTCGCCAGGATGGATCTGGAGGCTGGGCTGTTGAATGGCTGGGAGGCTTGGGCGTTCGCAGAGTCTTAAGGGGGCTCATTGCAGTTTCTTTTGTGGGACCTGCTTGTACCTTCGTGGCTTCGCGTGAGGCAGGCAAGGTAGGACTAGAAGCACTTTCAGTCCATCTAGGGCCAGAAGGGGACCCACACACACAGACACAGACACACAGAGGCACCAGGGGATTTATCACTTTTGGAGGGGAACACCCCCCATATTAACAAATTAGGGGTTTAATAATCCGGTGTCAACATTACTCATGGGAATTCGTTTGATTCATGACTTGTGCCACGTTTTTTCTCTTCCTGCAACAAGCGGGATGAGAGAGGCCGGATGCTCGGCTTGCCAGGCTGAAGTCACCAAGCTTTGCGAGGACGGACACCTTGGCCGGCTTTCAGTTGGTCCAAGGTTTCCAGGAACCTGAGGTATCTGGTTTTTCTTAGGGATCCTTTATGTCATTTCTCCCAGATTTGCAAGAAACACTTGTGAGTGTGGCATGCCACCTGGAACCCCGTCGACTCTCGACTGGGTGCCATCGACGGCGTTGCGCAGCTCGGGCGCCGAAAACGGCGCGCCGCACGGCCGAAGGAGCAGAAGAAGTTGGCCGCGAAGTCCTGGCAGAAGCCGCTGGCCGAGCCCCGCGCTGAGAGCGCGCGCGCGCGCCTGGCGCGCGCGCAGCGGCGCTTGCGCAGTGCGAGCAGGGCTTGTGAAGGTGCCAACTGGGGGGTGGGGTGAGGGGGGGGGGAAGAGTTTCCGGTTCATAGAAGCACATTCTGCGGGGAGGGTTGGGTGGGTGGAGGGGTTGGTAGAACTCAAGCCTGCCGTGAGTCCTTGAAGAACGGGGCCTGTGGGACCAAGGCTCACCAAGAAGTTGAGCGACGAGGAGCGGAAGCAGCAGGCGGTGCTTCGTGCCGCGAGAGATCGATCGAGATCGATTGCCCCTTTGAGGGTGCCAGAAACGTGGCACAGATTCCACAGGTCAGCGGCTTATCGCCAGGTCGTTTTGGACCGGGTTTTGCTTGGAGGGCAGCTGGCAGTACCTCTGGAGTGTCACCAGCAAAAGTGCCCCTCCCGCGGCCGTTTCGCCAGTACCTTTGGGGCCTGTTGTTGAAAACCGTCGTTCCTGAAATCCGCCCTTCCCCCCCCCCCCCACCCCCCCGACAAAACCACATGAACATGGGGGATTTTTCCGGGTTTCCTTTTGGTCTTCAACTAGGTCCCCCAGTAGTGCCCTGCTACCCTTGTTTTGGGGAGGGTTCCCCTACTAAAACAGACTACAGAAAAAAGTTGGTACCCTTATTCTAACCTCTCTACTGGAGGACCAAGTTGGACAAAACGGTGGCTTGGTGGTTGATCTGTCATGGTGCATCTAATTTTTGTTGGGCCCCCGGTTTGGTCGGGTTTTCAGAGGGAAGCCAACCGGAAACCAACCACGTCAAGAAATCAACACCATCAAGTGGGCACCCCCCGTTGGGCACCCCGGGACCCCGAGACTCTCGCTTTGGTTTCCCTTCCGACGGATTCGCGAGGTGCTGCTGGGCCAGCAGGGCCAGGCGATGCTGCGGAGCTTCGTGCGGCCGCCTGCTTTGTGTGGGCGCCTGGGGGTGGGGGCGTGGGGGGGTGGAGGGGGTGGAGGGGTGGAGGGGGTGGAGGGGGAGGGGGTGAAACCCCCCCCCCCCCATTCCGCAGTTTTTTGACCATGGGTAAGTTTTCCCATGTGGTTGAAATTTCGATTCGGTTTAGTGGTTTCCCAGCCAGTGGTTATCCAATGTGAAGGACCTTTTGATCAGCCCCCCATTTGGGCGTTTGCAAAACAACATGAGAATCCGTCCACTGAAATGGTTGGTTCCCTTTTGGCTTCCCTTTCAACGCCAACAACAGCGGGCCATCAGTCTGAGAAACCCCGGGTATGGCCTCCTCCCATAGCCAGACATGGCTATCAGTTGAGCAGAGATGCAGCTGAGATTGGGGGCCCGTCGGCCCCCAAGGAAAGATCCCACGAACTCTTTGATCTGACCGCCGTCGAAGAAGGGGCTGTGCCAGGCCCCTTCTTTATGGGTGGAATGGGCACTACCCAAGTGACCCCTGAGGCACACGATGGGCTTCATCAGGCGGGTCGCCCAGCGCGCTACATCGCTAAACTGGACATCTCCCCATTAAGCGGCGTCTTGTGGTACGACCCCCTGATGTTCGGAGCGCCTCTGAGTCTGGGAACCGTGCTGAGCAGGTTCTTAACCTGTTCTGGGGTCTAGTACTTTGCCCTTGCGCATTGCCGTTGGAAGTGCATGTTTCCCGGATGTGTCCAGACCCAACAGCAGGGGGACTCTGCCCTTGGCGCAAGTGGCAATTGGCGCTCGCCGTTTGCGGGCCGTCTGCGCGTCAGGGCGGGGATGGCCCCAAAGGAGATCTATCAGAGGCTTGCCGGGCACTACCATCACCACCGGCAGAGGCTCGGGGCAGCAAGCCAAACCTCGAGCAAGTTTCGGGGTCATAGGAACACCGAGAAAAAGCCACAGCTCACTTCCCGAACTAAGTTTTTTTTTTTTTTTTTTTTGGGGGGGGGGGGGGCAGGAGCATATTAGTGGTAAATAACAAAGTTTTGGACTTTTTTGTTGGCCAATCCACTCAGGAGGTGAGACAATAGTTTTTCCCAAGCCCGCATGGCTTGACCGAGCCTTGAATCTGAATGGTTCAAGGGGTGGGTGCCGATTTTGGAAGCTCTTATCTAAGGCTCCCGAACGGCGTGGGGGTGGAGGAAACTCAATCGTGTTGGCGTGGTTGGTGTGTTGGTCTGGTGCAGAGATCATGACAGTCCATGCTCCTATCTCCGCGGCACCTCTTTTCTGCATCCTGTCTTTGAGGTGACCCCATGATTGCTTTGAAGTGACCCGCGTGCGATTTGCCCTGATCCTCCATATCACTTGGTCGTTGCCCGCTTTAGTCATCTAATTAGGATGCCCGTTCGGCTCTGCAGAGTTTCCGTTTGGACAATCCGTTTGAACCATTTAAGGAAGCACCACTATCAGTTTCTGCAAGAAGGGCTTGAAGAGGCAACGGTGCATGGGTGCTGTCCATGTGCTTTGCGCCAGGATGTTTTCGGAGTTCTTCACCCCGGTCCTGGGGAACCATCGAAATGCGCAGCTTGGACCATGGCCCGGGGTGAAGCTTCAGCAGATTGCTTTGGTCGGAGCAGTCCTGTGAAGAAGTCCGTGTTTGATGTGTGCGCACACGCGAGTTCCATACATATGCATGCATATACGTTTGTACATATATGCTTATGTTGTTAAGCTAGCTAGCTATCTAGCCGCATCTAGCGGTCTAGGTTTCTGCTTGTGTATTTGCCTACCTGTCGATGTGTGAATCTTTTCATCCGATCATCCGTGCTCCTGGCCGTGCTGGGCGTCGTTTGTTGCGGCGCTCACCCGTGGTTAGTGGTTGTATGATGCCCGCGGCCCTTGCCACTTCACCAGGAAGGCAGGCAGCTTGTTCTCACATATCATTTGAAGCCTTTCTGTTTTTTTTGGCATTCTCTATGGTTTGCCGCATCTCCCCTCTTTCAGATGAGTTGCCGGTGCGAAGGTACAGGTAGACTCTCAGGTAGACCCGAACCAAGCGTGAATGCTGAAGCTTCAGCCGCCCGCTCCATCCACCCAGGCATGTCCTCCCCATGCTCCCAGAGTGGATCATGGAGGCGGTTCGGTGTGGGGCGTGAGGGAGTCTGGAAGTCTGAAACGGTCCAACAGGTGGTGGCGAATTGCACAAGAAGGGAATGATACAAGCTTCAGCACCCTGTATATAGAGACTCCTCATTGTGGATAGCAGCACCGGATTATTGGGTGGCACCCAACAGTTGAGGAAGAGAAGGCTCACCCCTACCCTCAAGTAGCTGGCGGTGGATCCCAGCAGAGAGCTAGGAAAACATGGGTCGCCGCTGAGCCCTCGAGTCTGTTAGGCGCTTTTTCGCAATGCCGCTTGTGGGCATTGCGAGCGGGGGTCACCAAAAGAACATCATTGTATTTTATTATACCTACCCCCTGCAGACAGCTTGAAACCCATGAATTTCAAATACCAGCCCCAGGAATGTCTACAGGAAGAGAGAATATGTATGGGTTTTGGAGGTGGAGGTTAAATACCACTTGTAAAGGGGGCACAGAACGTCTTACAAGCTGATATTGGTGGTACTCCAAACACCATACCTGAGACTGCCCTGGAAAATCGCCAGGGCGGCTTCATCGACAGCCTTCTGCGGCCCATGGTGGAGAAGTTTGCCGGCAAGAAACTGGCGGGGGAAAAGACCGGGAAAGCTGCTGTGATGCCCCCACCGCTGGTATGAGTTTTGTGCTTGAGTTTAGGTTGCGCCTTTTGGGACGTTTGAGTGGTCTCACCGCTGCCAACCAGACAGTTTGACATACCTGCTGCGTGGGGCAAACTCAAACGATGCCCAACATATTGCAAGTAAGGGAACGGCGAACCCTTTGATACATTGCGTCCATGATTTTGCAGTGGAGAGTCTTTGTGGTTCCCTTGCAATATGACAGGGGCATCCAACGTTCGTGAAGTTGACGGGTGGGATCGAATTGAGGAACTCCCAAGGTTCTAGTTGTTTTCTTCCCCACATGGCACAAAGCGATACAACCGGCGGGGGGGGGGGGATTTGACACACAATTGTGAGTGACATGGGCAGCATGTGTAGGGTGCCTCAGTGGACACCATAGCAATTGCGCTTGTATTGTTGCCTGCTTTCACCAATGGTTGCGGGCTGTCCGTGGCATTTAAGTGCGCAATGACCCTGAAGCCAAGCAAGGGTCTGAAATGACTCCTGCTCCCGCGATGTTATCGGCTCTCTTAGTTGGTTTCATGAGGGGTTTGTTCAGATGCATGAGATATATGAGGTGAGTTTTGTCACAGGCGCTGGTGAACGTTCACCCTGGCATTCGCATCTACAAGGCCCAGCCGAGTGCCTGCTTTGGACTGGAACGGTCTCACGAAGAATGATCACCCTTGCCGTTGAGATCTCATCGCCTTAGCCAATCGTCTCGTGGGAGTTGCCGGTCTCGAAGCGGCTTGGACCGTCCCAACGGCAGGGGTCACCTTCAAAGTGCGCAAGTCAAGGGTCAAACTGATTTTCCTGCTAGTCGTTGGTCTCCCAACAGCGGGTTTTATGGAGTTAGGCAGGAGGTCGCAGGAGGGCGTGCGGGACCCCCTAGGCTTTCCAAAAACCTTCATGAGCTTCAAGAGAAAGGCAGAGGGGAAAAGCAAGCGGACACATGTAGGAAGACGACCACCCCCACGTGTTTCCTTTTTGTCCCGCTCGGCGTGGGGAGGTTGAATCACATTTTGGGCCAACTTGAAGTGAGTCTTCCTTCTGGTGAGAGAAGATTGAAAGCCTGGCTGAGCCCCGGCATCACAATTTTTCAGATGCTGTTTCGTGTGTGGCCCCCAAAAAAATGATTGACAAATCATGTTGGAGGACTCCAGCAGACGGCGAAATACCGGGAACCCTGTCTTGACCCATCCGTGCCCAGCGCGGCTTTCGAGCAGGAGGGCGCCACACTGATGCGCCACGTGGACAGCTGCAGCGCCCAGTTCTGGGGCAAAAGGTGAACAGCACGGAACCTGGAGATTGGCCCATTGATGTCATTTCTTCGACTTTAACTTTTTGCCAACTAATGGGTTTTCCGTATTAAACCACTAAAAGTTGAACTTTTAGCAGGGGAGCAGGAAGCAACCGAGATTTGAATCGCCTTGTAAAATGGGTTCCAAGTGGTTCCATTGGACATCAAGCGAATGATGTCGACCCAAGGGCCAATCAAGCTGTATGCTGTGAATGGACAAGAACAACTTTGCACCAGTTGGTGGGTGGCTTATCCGAGGCTTGTCCCAGTATTCATTGGATTTTGTCCATTTCAACTGGTGCGGGATGTGTTCATCCACAGTGAACCTCTATGTAGGCGAGCTCACCTGAGGTTAAATCGAGCTCTGACGCATACACCCTTCGCCGCCCTGTGATTCTGCCCCACTTTTTTGAGGAGTTCCGACCCCTCCCCCAGCGGCGGTTAGTGTGCGGGCCAATTCCGCCCCAGGTTTTTTTTTTTTTTTTTTTTCTCCATGTGCTTCAAGCGAGGTCGCGCATGCATGGCCACGCGTCATTTTTTGCTTTGGCGCCAGTCCCGCCGCCAGCGCCCGGCGCCCGGCGTCAGGCCCAGAGCGACCGATTACCGTGGCGCTGGCCATCGGCGCCGCCGGAGCAGGAGCCGAGGGTTTCCATCGGCCCCTTTTGAACGAGAAAACGGCTTGGGCTCCGCGGCGCTTGGCTAGGCGCTCTGAAGGCAAGGACGCACATCTATGCAGTGCGGTGGCGCCTGGTCCTGCTCAGATCGGCCGGGCGATGGCAGATGAAGGCCGAAAGCCGCGATGAACGGTGAATTCATGGGCTGCCTTTTATGCCTCATGCATTGTGCGGACCGACGATTGAAGAATCAGTCCATCAAATGGAAAAGTGATACCGGCTATGCTGCCGTTGAGGCCTGACCGCCTGTAGCGTTCAAGCCCCAACGTCTCTATGAGAGAGAAAGCAGCCCGTATCAGATGGACCCGCGAAAGGGTGGGCCTGACGAAGAATGTGCCGATTGCCCTAAGTACTGTTGGGGAGCCTTGCGGAGCTGGGATTTGGAATTCCCTCTGCTTGCAGAGCGCGAGCTCAATGTAGCTCACTGCACGAAAATAAGCGGCCGACAAGTTGTACGAGTAAGGCAGCAAAGGGTGTCAGCGATCCGGCTTCACTAGCAATGGGATGTTGCAGCCAGTTGCCTGGTAGTGCTTCGGACAGAGATGTTGCCTGTACTTGCTCGTCCCAGTCGTTGTCATCGACATGTCGTAGATTGACTGGTCTGTCAAAGGTTGCTGTACGGCAAGCAGCTATCCTCGTAGTTGCTTAATCCGGTTGGTCCAGAGGCAGTAAAAGTCGGAGTCCTGCTGAATTGTCCTGAGCAATATGTCCGGCCTTTGCGTATTCAGCAGGCCCGCATTAACGTCGACATTGTTGTTCCAAGCGGCGCACCGCTCTTCAAGGGCAGTTCTGCACGTCCAATGGATTGTGTGAGGCCGTGAAGAGGTTGCCCGTCTATTGGCCGTCCGGTGGTTGCATTGCTGATGCTCCAGGCAGCCAGAGTGTTGCCGCGAGCGCCGTGGATGTGGCAGCTGCCGTCTGTGAAAACATGCTGAATGTCACGTCCAGGTGCAGAGAGAAATTCAACGCCTTGTGTCGCAAGCAAAGCCGCCTGAGAGCGTACGTATGCGGTGACCTCGATACCAACAGGTGTACCAGGGTATGTTGAGGGCACTCTTGAACAAGCTCAACTAGGCCGGGGAACTGCGCTCGAATTTCCGCAAATTGCTCACAGGTGTACCAGTGCAATATTGGATCTGGAACCTTGCCTATGGGGCAGTTGCCGCCCTTCGTGATGTCGAATTTGATGAAGGCCCCTTCTTGGCCTGGACCCGTGCGTATTCGAGTGGAGTCAGCTTGTGGTGATCCATCCAGGCTGTCCAGTTGTTGTAGCGCCTTGCGGTGCCGCACGGACGCGGCGACGTACATGCATCATGTGAGAGGCCAAGCTGAATGATGCCCCCATGAATCAGCACCGGCTTGTTGGTGCCAGGGTACTTGGCGGGTAGCTGAGCTTGTGGATGGTACGGGTGATGTTGGCTTCTTCTTGGGGAAGGTCAGTGAGCAAGAGTGCCAGCGCGTCCGGGCTGTGGCCGTTGTTGTTGGTGAGGAAGGGCCCGGCATTGGCTGAGGTGCAGAGGGCGATGCCTCAATGACAGCGGCACACGGGACCTGGGCAACCACAAGTCCATCCTTATCGACGAATGCCCCTGGGAAGAGCTCCAGCAGGTCCGGGTCGATCTGGAATGGAGGGCTGGTAGTGGAAGAGGAGGTGCATGTTTGCCAGATTGCCGATTTTGGACCCACAGTTTGGTGGCATGCTTCTGCATATGACGAGTCCATGGAGCTCTGGATGCCAGTGCCTTGGTGACTGATTGAGCCCCGAGCTTGTCGAGCACCAGCTGGGCCTGCTTAGTGTTGGAACTCCTTTTTCATGTAGAAGCGCAGCGAGTCCTTGTATGATGTCTGGATGAGGGCCGAATCCGTTGATGTTCATTGGAAGCTGCCCGAAGGACTGTGGATGGAGGAGCCGATGGTGTAGATCCGGGATGTTGAGCGCCCTAGTGGAGAAGTGCATGCGCCAAGGCGATGGCTCCACAGCTGCCGGGAATAAGCTGGGTGTGGACATTGCCGATGGAGAAGGTGGACGATGTGGCTCCTAGCGTTCGGTTGAAGTTGTCCGCAAGTGCAAGGGCTGCACCTGGAACGTGGTTGGTAGCCCCGTCAAGGTATTCCCATCGGATGTGCTTGCCGCAGATATGGCCGCCGAGGAAGGCCTGCGCATATTCTCCGCAAAGATGCAGACGACAAGTTGGGGAGACCCTCAAAAAGGGGTAGTGTCTTGAGAAGGGCATGAGCCGTGTTGGGCTGGTGGTCGTATGCTGAAAGCGATGGGCGATCACCTGCATTTCCTCCCAAATGGTGCCGTCAAAGGGGCCAGGAGTGCTGGTAGTAGGTGAGGAGGTGAAAACTGTGATGTCGGTCCAGGCCCGAGTGTCTGCCCCAAACATGACGCCAAATCCATCATGGACATAGTTGAGCCGAATCATGTTGTGTTCTCGCAGTGCTTCAAAGATGAAGCAGCCAGGGTGGTGCTGAGATGTGAGCGAGCAGTCGGGGGTCCTGATGCAAATGGTGATGGGAGAGCTGGGAGGTGCAATGCGTTGTCGTTTGGGAAAGCGACTGACAAAGATGGTGGTGGGAGTGTCCGGTGACCTCGCATTCTCCTGCTAGGAAGGGTCATGGATGCAGCACCTATGTCCCCACTCCTCGTTGATGCGTTCGGCAACGAGAAGGTGTTGAGGCTCCAATTTGCGTCTGATGGGTAGGGAGATGGTGCTCGGAGGGGACCTGGATGTTCCCAATGCCCCGTTGGTCGTCGTGGAACTGCTTGAGGATTTCCTGCTTGTAGAGCTGGATGAGGTGGTTCGGGATTCGCACTGCTTAAAGTTCTCACCGATTCGTTTTTGCCCGTCGGGCCTTCTTCTGGTAATTTGGTGTTTTCTTTTTTTGTAGTCTTATAACATTCTACAGGCGTGGATCCACAAAAGCCACATCCAAGCCGTTTTCTAGACTTTGGCCCCAAGAAGCCAGCAATCATCGCCAGGGTAGAGGAGCGGCTGTCCCGCCCATCTGGCGCCGTTTTCCTTTTTTTTTTTTCCTCTTCTTTCCGGCACCGGAGGGCTCCGGAGATTGTGGCAACCAAGAATCCGCCAAGCACATGGGCGGAGAGAAGATTCGTAAACTCACACCAAGTGCTGCTGCACGTGCCTTTGTTGCCTCTGAAAGTGTCGTCACGGCTTGGCAAACTTGACGACCTGCATCGCTTGCTATCTGTGTTCCAAGCTTATCTTACTATCATGCTGCCTTGCTTGCAATACTCTTCTTCCCCGCTGATTTTCGGCTTGTTGTTTTCCTTTTTTGGGGAGGTGTTCCTGGGTCCCTTGGAGTGATGAGCGGAGGTTTGTCGGGGTTCTTCACCCAGGAGGCAGCTGGCATCTGGAGCTGTCGGACCCTCATGGGAATCAGTGGAGGCCACTGCCCTTGACCATGGGCCGCAGCCTGAACCGGATGTGGATGCGGATGCGGATGAGGTGTGTGTCAACTGTTTTTTTTGGGTCGCTCCACTGGGAAATGGACAGCTACCAAGTGCTTCCAGGTTTTCTAGCTATCCCAAAAGGTCGTTTTGGGGACCCTCGTGAGGGAGACCTACTCAAGGCTAGGAGGTTGATAGGGTTTACCCATCCCAAGTGATACAGGACTCCGCCCATCCAGTGTAAATTCTGCAGAAGAGGAAGCAGATGGCCGCAGTTGGCTGCGAGCGAAGGCACTGCGGCGCTCACCACTGGGGTGTCTCTCCGAAAGGAACCCCCAAAACGATTTCGGTTTCTCCTCAGCGCCATTCATCCGGAAGCTCGCGCATGTGCCAAGGTCACATGTTGATCTATGCCACCTGTCCGCACGAGCTGGGGGGCAGATGCGAAGCATGTTAGGAGGGCATCCGTTTTTTTTTTGAGGCGGTTGCCCTTCAGTCTGTCATTTGGAGGGTCATTCTTGAAGATGTCACTTTAGGCGATGACCGCTTTCACAAGCCTAGACTGATTCATTGAGGTGTGCTGTCATGTTTGTTTGTTTTTTGGCAGGGAAGCATGGGCATCTACGTTCAGGCTAAAAGGTGAATGCAGAACAACAGGTCTTATCATAATGATGCCTATTAAGTCAGCACTTCACCCAGCAACGTATCCGGAGGCCTGATGCCTCCGAACAACTGTCAAGTTGCTGAGGAGGGCGTGCGCATTGCGCATGGGAGGCTGGCAGCGTGGGTGCAGGGTGCGGGGCGCAGGGCGCGGGTTTCGTGTCAGCCCACAATGCCTTCTCATAGGTTGCCTCCACCATTGCATAGTTGTTGTTGGGATACACTTTACATTTTTGCTTATTGTGGTTTAGTGGGAGGTCCCCACTTAACTGCTAAAGTTTAAACTTTTGCTCCCCTTCCAACGTCAACCAAGAATTTCCGCTTCAAGATGTGGAGCCTTTTGTCCAGTGGTACCAAACATGTGCCATACCTTTGACAAAGCCCTGGGCATCGCGTGTCTCATTGGAGGCTTTTCTAGCGGGGGGAGCCTTGGCGCGGACAGGGCGGGGCCTCTGGCGAGCGGTGAGCTGGCCATGGCCTTCGCCTACTACCGGCCAAAAGAGAACTACGAGCCTCGGCCGAAGGGGTGGGGGCCCGGGGGGGGGGGGGCAGGGAGGGGTTGAAGAATGATGAAACTGGTGGTTTGCCAGCCGGGCACCTTATTGCATACTTCCTGCTTTGAGTGGCTTTGAACGCTGCCTGGTCTCCATGTTTGGTTGATGTTTGAGACTTGAAATCGATCAATTGCGCGAGTTGGTGCAAGACTTGAGGAGACACTGTGGATGGACAAAAACCTGCACCACTTTGCAGCCACGCGGAAACCATTTTTTGGTGCTTACCAGAGAATCATCATTCCAGGGTTTCTTAGGTGGTGCGAAATGGATTTCGTCCAGCAGCATAAGCCGCTGCCTGCCGTGAAAAAGGGCGGTCCCAGCAGTCCAGCGTGCCGTTCGGAGGACCCACCGGCAACACGCTCCAAGTGCTTGAGCCCGTTCCCTCGCGGTTCCTTTGGGAGGCGGCTTTGTGACCTTTTCCCCTGCAGAAAGGGGAGTTTTTTTAGTCACCATTTGAACGCAGGTAAGTGGACATGGGCTGTCTCACCATGGTTATACAGCATGTTTGGGTGGTTTCCCTTTGCTTTCCCTTTCTCCTTTGGAACCTGGCACGGCTGGAGAGGAACGTGCGCCCTGCCATAAGACGTGCCCACATTTTTACGTCCCTGATGCCGGCGCCGCCCCTGCGGAGCGGACATTTTCCACACGTATGCTTTTGAAGGGGCCCTTTCTGTGGAAAAGACACCTGGGCAAGTGGGCAAGTTGGGAAAGTCCACTGTTGGTTGGGACTTCCCCGCAACAAGCAACACACAAAACAAGCAAACTATACTCGCTTCCCGAGCTCCTGAACTTCAAAAACTTGTTTGGGAAGACCATCTTAGTGGTCAAGAAAAGGTTTGGACTGTTTTTGGGCCATCCACTCTACAATTTTGCTTATTGTGGTTTAGTGGGAAATCCCCAAAATTTAAATTTTTGCTCCCCTTCCAACGTCAACCAAGATTTTGGGCTAGGGGAACAGCTCAGTTGTCCCATGTCCTCTTCGCTTCTCTCAGGACGCGCCGCGCCTGCAGCGGCACGTCGAGCAGATGGTCTCCTCTGCCCCGCGGCCCACCAGTGCATCCCAAGGCGCGCTTGGAGTCGTCGTCGCTTGACCGGAGTTCCCATGACTATTTCGGGAAGGACATGGCCGGAGCAAGTGTTTCGATGCTAATAGGTCTGTGGCTCAAAAACACTGTCCCAAAATGGAACCCTGGAAAGTAGAAACAAAGGGTAACACCTGCGGTTTGCCCCTCCTGCCAAATTTTATTAGGGCTGGCGGCGTCGCAGTCGGAAGCGTTGCGAGAGCTTGGCGGAAGCCTCCTGCACGTTGAGCGTACGACCGACTGCCATCCCAAATGCCATCCAGCGTGAAAAGTCCGGTGCCACTCAGACTGGCTAGGACTAGTATGGCGGATACTCCAAAACATGCGAGTAAACCACTTCCAACCACAAAACCTTACAAGATACATTTTGCCCATTTGACACATTGCTTTTTCCACCAAAATAAAGGGACACCACCATTTACAAGGCAATGTTTAGGTGTATAATGTAAGGATCCCTGATAAAGTGCAGTACTTTTGGGGTTCCTTTGCTTTTGATTTGTTGGGCCGTCTGTTTGGTGCCGCCAGGGCAGGCGCCCGAGTTCCGCCCGGGGCCCGGATATGTCGAGGTGAGGCGCAGGGGATTTGGCAGAGAGGCGCATTGGGATCAGCGAGTTGTTCAGGTTTTGTGGCATCCATCACCCCCAGCCCTACCCCCCCCCACCAAAAAGAAACAAGGCAATCAAACAACAATAGAACAATAAACACCCCCCCTTCCCACAAAACAAAAAGCAATCAACCACTAATGATAAGAAGTGAAGGATAAAAGGCAAACTCATCCTTTGCCGCTGGTTTGGGTGGCCGTTCGACCGTTTGCCTCTTGGGGCCGCGTATCTCCGAGGCAGCGTTGATGAGCTGTGACCTGCGATGCGGTGCTGGGGTGTTGGAAAATGGGCAGGGTCAGGCAGGGGGGAAAAGCACGCATATATAGAATATACACTCTCATATATTGTTCAAAAAGCACACACACACACATACATACATACATGCATGCATGCATGCATGCATACATACATACATACATACATACATACATACATACATACATATGTATTTATATTCTCATATGTATGATGCACACGCACACACACACCTATATATATATATACACATACATACAAAGGGATATAAGAATAGACATATTCAGGTTGGTATGGATCATGTGAGTTCACAAGCGTCCCCGTTTGGGCCGCACACAAAACCTCACTTCCCGAGTTGGACTTGACACTTTTGGAACTTAAACCAATTAAGGTTAGGTGAGACAAGTTTGGACATGCTTTTCCCATAGTTGTCAGCGGCCTTTTAAAGAGGGGACCCGCAAAACAGGAACCGAATTAGCCCCAGTGGGCCTCATTACTCACCTTTTTGCCCCTGGGATTGGGGAATCGGCGCCTATTGAGATGCCCTTGACCACCGAATTTTTGGGCCTAGGCTGAGTAGTCGCTATTGGTCTTTATTGGGATGGGGGGGGAATATTGAGGGGCCCTTGGCTATGGGAATTTTTGGTCAATGCACTCGATCGGAAGTGAGACAGAGCGCGCATTTGGTTTCTGGAGCCTCACGAGGAGCTCCATTGCCGCGAGTCTTGAGCCAAGTGTGAGCCAAGGTGCCGTGAGCGGGGGGGATGCGGGGCCCGGGACCGGGGGAGGGGGGGTGTTGAACGAAAATCCGGGGATGGACAAACAAATAGAACCGCGCCAGGTGCAGGTGCCGGTTGGGCGGTTTGTGTCATTTTAGGGTTTTTGTCCATTTTGACTGGTGAAGGACTTTGTCCATCCACAGTAGGATGTTCGTTTCAGGCCCAAACATGAGGTCTTTTGGTTCCTAGGCCGCGGCCGCCCCAAGTAGCCCGAAAAGCATCGCTTCCCCAGTTTCAGGACTTATTTCTTGGGGAAGGCAAGCCAAAAGTTCAGACTTCTTTTGGCCAATACTTAGGAACAATGAAGCCTTTCAAACCCTTTTCCCTGTTCGACCTGAAGAAGTGTACCCTCACAAGCAACCGACCCAAGAAGTCAATGCTTAGGCAAGACAAGCAGTTGGATGGTTCAGATTGGGAACTGCCCACCCAGTCGACGCCCAAGACCAGTTGGATGGTTCAGCTGCTGGTTTTCTCGTTCCCTCTCGGCCAGCGCGCGCGCGGCGCGTCTGCGGTCCGCGAGCGAGCGCGAGCGAGCGCTCCGGGCGAGCGCCGAGGTTCTACCGCCAGGAGCGGGGCTTTCAGCGCCAGGAGGCCAGGGCCATGCGCCTGGAGGACCAGCACGCGCGCCCGGGGGCCCAGACCAGAGGGGGGGGTGGGTGGGTTGGGTGGGGGTGGGGTGGGGGGTGGGGGGTGGGCTGGGATAGGTCTTGGGCTGGATTTTTCGGGTTTTTGGGTTGGGTTTTGGGTTGGGTGGGTGTGGGGTGGGGTGGGTGGGCTAGGGGGATTTTAGGTCCAGCTTTGCTGGGCACACCATCAAAAGTGGCTAGTGGACAAAACGCTCTATGTAAATAGTTTCCACTGACGCAAGGGTCACACCCACGTGGCTACATGTTGAGTGCCGTGCGGCCGTGCCATGTCTAGGCCACGTTCGAGACGAGGAGCGGCGCATGCTGGAAGATGCATCAGCCTCAGGTTGCCCGAGGGTTCTTCAGGGTCCTGCCGCCGTGAATTTCAAGGGGAGCACCCTCAAGGATGTTTGGTGGACCCCATGTAAACGATGTCCAGAGGTCCCCCATGAAGATTCATCCCGAGGTCTCCTTCTTTGGCGTTTAGTTTCCCGTTTGCAGTGTGATGTTTAACACGTCACGGCGTCCCGCAGATGTTACCCGCATGGCATGAGGCATGCCTGATGAACAACTGCCCCCCCCCGCCCCGCCCCTGAGTAAATCAGAGCTATCTTTTTGTGGGGAGAATCTTCTTTACATTCAGGGTAGCCGTGTAGCTCCGCTTCAACAACTGCCCGCAAAACGGATCCGGATCATTTGTGGCGGATGGCATTCCTGAAGCAAGGCTGGGAAAGCAGCTCCAGGGTTCCAGCTTTCCCAGTTATTCAGTGGTGCGCGTTGTCATGTTCTCCCGCTGGTTCGCCACCGAATTTGCACAGCGCGCACGGGGCGCCCCGTGACGGCCAAGTGCCCAATCCCAAGAAGCCTCGCAGGTACTTGTAGGGCTTTGGATGGGCTGATAAAGTTGAAGAGGAAGCTGGCCAAAGCCAGCGATGCTGAAGCAAGCCAGCACTAGATGCGCATTAGGAGGAAAACACCGAGAAGGCGGGGAAAAAAAGGTCGCGTGACAGACGCGAAGACAAGGAACAAGGAGGAAAACGAAGAAGAGCAAAATTATGATTCTTCAAACCTTGATTTAGGAAGCTGCTGGAGGGTCTCCCCGTTCGGTTTAGCCTGTCGGCATAGGATCAAAAGCAGGATGTCGCCCACCCCTGAAAGAAAAACAAGCAGTGAGCATAGGTCGGCCAGGCTGGCTGAATGCACCCCAAAGTTGACCAAGGCACTCATCTTCTCCAAAGCTCCTTTTCTATGAAGCTGTCCAAGCGCCCATCCGGCGTCCGAGGCCGACCGCACCAGAGCAGATGCGGAGCGCCGCAAGATGGAGGTGGAGGACGCGTTGGCCACGGCCGTCCGGAGGACGGGCTGCCGATGCTATGGCTCGAAAAACCCTGAAACGAGTGGTTCATATGGTTTTCAGGTTTTCAGGTGGTGCAGGAATTCGTCCACCCACGGCATGTCTGACGGAATAAGTATGCAAAACTTGAACTTCGAACGAATGGTTCTCAGAAAGACTCCGATTGCCTGGCTCTTCGCCGGGGGGGAACATGTTTGTTCATGGACCGGCCTCTGCAAGAAACAACTTGTGGGCACTACAACACTGTGTGCACTATGCTTGTGAGTTGCATGTGGCATCATGTGGCAATGCGCAGCGTTTTGTCTCAAACATGTTTCTGCGGTTGCGGGCGTGACTTTGTTTTGTTCCGTTCGTTTGATATGCGGGGGGGGGGCAGGTCGGCGAAACAAATCCCTGATGCTTACTTTGAAGCCTCCACTTTCCCACGTCCAACCTCATCCCTTTGTGCAGCGTATTCGATCCGATGGAGCGCGGCTGGCCATGCTGCTTTTCCGCGGGCAGATCAGGTTCGCAGCCAATTTCTGCCCTCTCTTGGAGCCACTTGGTTCGAACCTTTTTCCCGGATTGATTGAGCTCAGAGACGTTTTGTTGCCGATTGAAACGTTGCCCCATGAAAAACGGTAATGAAAGGTTGGGTTGGGTGTCATGGCTTTTGTGCGGGATGCCCACTACGGCTACTGAGGCAAGACATCATCAAGATGCGGCAGAGCATCGAGCAACGCAAACAAACTTACAAGGAAGGTCGTGACTTCAGCAAAAAGATCAAACACATTTTCTTTGATGTCGATTGTATTAGTTTGTTGCTATTTGTTCCATTCTAATGTTGAACCATCGATCGTCGCACGGAAGAGGCAAGCGCTTTATGCGGGGCGGCAACTTCTCCACTTCGAAGGAGGAGAGCCAATGGGCGGTGAGGCACTTTGGCGAGGAGCGCGAGCGCCCTTTGGCCTGAGTTTGGACGGCTTCTTTTGGTGAGGTGTAAGGAAATTGTGCACGGAAGGGAAAAAATCGGGATTATTCCAACCATGGGATTGTTCATTCTATTTGCTGTTGTTGCTTTGGTGTTCTCAACGAACTATTGTATGTTTTTTTTGGAGGGATGGCCGTGGCAAATTAGTCAGGCTGTTCCCAAGAATCGATGATGATTGATATGATGACCTACTGAAGGTGTTTTTTTTTTCTTCCGCAATTCCTTTTCATAGGTGCTGTACTATCAACATATCTTTCAGCGCAGTCTTGCAGAGTGGAGACAACTGCTCGTGGTTGCCACAGTTAATTGCCTCGACTACCCAATACCTCAAACACCACACATTTTCGGCGATTTGTTCGGTTTGTTGCAATGTTTGGTGGGGCAGTTTGCCACCCCTTATGAAGGATTCCACATTGAAACCCAGGCTTCAAGCATACCAAGCAGACGAGTCCTTTTTGTTCTAGCAGATCCGGTTTTCAGCCAGAACACTTATGTGTGTCTATATATATACATAGATATCAATATACCCATACATATGTACAATCATATGGCATCACTGGATACCACGGATTGATTCATTGAACACCAAAATTTGATGGCTTTTGAACCTGGCAACATGATTGGCTGTTTCCAAATACAGGTGATAGTACATATATATATATATATATATATATGTCTCAGTGGTCAAATGCACCAATGCAAGTGGCAGGATTCTTTGGGTTACACTGGTATAGTTGGCTTTGAAGGTTGTGACTTGGCATCTTTGTGCTCAACTTCATGTGCCCAACATCCATACAGTGGATGGACAAAATCCTGCACCACACAAGGAACCCTGGAATGATGAGTCCCCTGTCGATACGAACAGCAATGGTTGCTGAGGTGGTGCAGGAATTTCGTCCACCCACAGTAGGGCGTTTGATTACTGTTTGTGTTTTGTCGGCCCTGCTGCTTCCCCGCTATCCATTTTCACCCTGGCGCCTAGTAACCTTGATGGACCAACACCCCATTTGTTTTGACACGCCCTTTCTCCGTGCCCTGCCACGGCGCCCCCAGCATGTCGATATGGGTGACATTTAAATCACCAGGACTTGGACCGCAGGTTTTCGTCCTTTCCATTTCCCAGGCAAATGGGGTTTCCCAATTTTTGGAACCCAGCCATGTCGTCAGGCAGGGCACCCCATTTCCCCTCATTTTTGACCTTTAACACGGCCGTCGGTGGTCATTCCCAGGAATGAGGACGGAGGAGAAGAAGATCAAACTGCTGGAGGATCGCTTGGAGCACCTCCTCCAGCGCTTCCGGCGCCACTGCCGCCGTTGAAACGCCCCAAACGGAAGCGCGACCGGCGGCTTCTCAGCGGATCGGTGCGGATCGGACGAGATTTGGGGCTTAGGGCCCCACGCGGTGCAGGCGAGGTGCC